CCAGTAACTATTCTCCTTGGGGGAAGGTAAGCAGGGTCTCCTTGGAACTGAACTGGCTCCAAGGTGACATACTTGGCAATAAAATATTGGAATCGAGCCAACCCTCTGTGGCAGTCTCGGTAGGCTGATTACTGAGCCAGGCAGGTCCGCAGTATTCCAGGGCACTGCTGGTGACAGCACAGCCCGTCTGGCTACTTGGAAGGGCAGACCAGCCACTGGAGACAGTGACTTTTCCCACTCAGCTCCAGTTAACAGTGCAAGCCAAAGCCTAGCTGGCAAGCTATGCGGTTGCAGCTGGTTAGACTCCAGAAGTACCCCCACGCACACTCTGGGGTCACAAAGCCTTGGCTCTTGCCAATCTGTGCCTCATACTCTCCGGAATTAGATAAGCAGGATGTATCCCACCAGTGAGAGAGTGTACATTCCATTCCAACAAATATCTCTGGAATTTTCATGTGTAGGTGGGATACATGAATTTCTCGATTTGGTTTGGATACTCTTAAACATGGTGATGGATTTCTGCATGTGGTTGGACCACCCTGGTTTAGATAATGATTTTAAGTCATGAAGTGAGCCCTGAACCCACAACCTTGAACCCGATTCATGACTTACCTCTGTGACTGCAGTTTCAGTCATCTTTCCCCCCACCTCCCTCCTCAGCTCCCATTCTCCGCCTTGTGTGCCCAGCACACAGTATAAATCGCTTTGAGATGTTCCTCTGACATGAAAGGTGCTACATAAATTGAAATTGTATCATATTCACAAATGTTGTGGGTATCATTAAGTAAATAATTCTGCTTTTCTTTTTTTCTGAAAAAAAACAAATCCTCTGCCTTCTTTTCTACGTACGGTGTAAGAAAATCTAAAAGAAACATTCCTTTTGAGTTACACTCAAGAACCACACCCCAAACAAGATCCCTTAATGTTCCTCCCTATCAAGGGTATTTCACTCTTTACTGTGACATGGGGTATATATAAAACATGTCATACAATCAAAACAGTTTATGCAAGATCATAAAAATGCACCTTAAAGATTATTTGATGAAAGTGGAAAAAGCAGAATTCTTGTATGATTTCAACTATTGTTTAATATGTTAACAAGATTATTACTCATTGCTGTGCTACAGTTCTTTTTTTGCATGAATATTATGTTTTGTTTTCATGAAATGAGACTAAAAAAAATTAACAGAAAAATATACGAACCCTGTGGTATCAATGTTGCTTTGGTGGACGATTTATAGTGCAGCTGTGCTGTGAATCTGTGGCTATAGGAACTTTGACTGCTACCCATGTTATTAGCTCTTATCTTTAATAATGGCTAGCTGCTCGCTGGGTATTCTGCCCTTCAGAGGTGAAAGGTGGAATCTGGGGAGACAACTCCATCTGCTCTTATAAGATAAACACGGCAGTAGGTGCTGGAAAGGAGCCAGCCGCACACATTGCTGGCTATCAGCCTTGCAGTGATCGCCAGAACATCAGTCTTCACTTTATTATCACAATTTGTTGCCCAGAGTTTACTTCCATGTTTTCATTTACTGTGCGGCTCCATAAATGAAGCGAGCAGTATCACGCTGGCAGCTGGCAGCACCACAACCTTTGATAAAAGCAATTTCACAAGAGTATTTTTTAATCAGTGCGGTTGGTACTGTAGGGTAAACTGATTCCTGTCTTTACAATGTAGAGGTGCACCGAGATGGACAGCAAAAGTGCTTCTGAAAATCAAAAGCAATAAAAAGTGTGCAACGTTCACATCAAAAATAATTAATGCTTTTTGACATCCTATTTGCATTGAGTTAACTTTCAGATATCAAGTCATCTATGCTAATGGTGAATGTTGCAGTGTGTTTGTCATAGATAGGGGGTTAGAGGCAATTAAACAGGAGGTGCAACCAAGTGCTTTAATCAGCTGGTGCTCCAGCATCAAACACATTGCATCTCATTGTGACCATGAGTACATTCAATTAAATGGTGTCACACTGTTCGGAGGTGGTAATGAAATCATTCAAAGCTAACACTGCTTTTCTCGCAGAATATGCTGCCCTACGATCATATTTTAATGTAGGATTATGTATTGTCTCCAAAGATCTTGGCCGTCATTTTAAAACTGGAGCTGGTGGCAGATTGTGCGGTGAGGCCAGGGAGAAGTGGAAAGAGAGAGCCAAATAGAAGAAGAGTGGGAAAGAAAGACAGCGAGAGAGAGAGAGAGAGAGAGAGAGAGAGAGAATCCAATTGAGTGAGAGAACGAGACAGAGGAAGAAAATCAAAGCAAGAGAGACGCAAAGCAGGAGCATAAATAACCTACAAGGAAATTTAGATCAATGAGGCAGATGGGATAATGTGTGACAGATGGATATTATGGAAATAAATGAAAGGTATTCAATATCAGAATAAGGGAAAATAAGCCTGTATAATGAAAGGATTTCCATTGCAAATGTGAATAAAAACAGGATGCTACATTGCCAAGTCAGTTGAGGCCAGATATACAGCTGGGTGGGTGAGTATTTTGCAAGGATGAGATCAGAAGTCAAAGGGCCTTCTTCATTCCACCTCTCTTGTGTCATTGAATACAGGTTTACAGTCAATGTGAAGCTGCTGTGAAGGAATCAACAACATTGGGTGGCATCTTAAGAGCATTTGGCAGCAGACATCACTATAGCCTTGTATAGATCGAAGACAAGGCCACATATAGAAATTTGTGTGTAGTTATGAATATTGTATTGTCACGAGGTCATGGAAGCATTGGAGAAGATTCAGAGAAGACAAGGTTGATCCTGGCCTTCAGTTCTACGTTATTAAGAGAGTCTCAAAGAGTTGAACGTGTTCTCAATATGAAACGTGTTCCAGAACTGTAAAATAATTATGTAAACAAATGCAGCCTATTTGATAATAAAACAAAGGTTCAGTGACCAAAATACAAAATACGGTTTAAAACTGAGGGACCATTGATGCTTTATTTCATTTCTTTAAATAAATCTTAAGATTTTTGAATTATTTTTTTGCTTGTCAAAGTGAGGGAAGTCAAGTACTGAGGTTTGGAATAGCCCCCGGTCAGGTCACTAATAGAGATGAAAAAGCTGTGATCTACAATGGGATTCACTAACCACCGCTTTTTGAACTCCCAAATGCCTAAAGCCCAACTTCAGAAGAGCACATGCAGTGGTGACATTTCATTAAGTTAGTGTTTCAGCATCACGAGTGTGAGACTTTTTGATATTTTTCGGAAGTTTTCACAAGAGGTTTGGATGAAGAAGGTCCTTCAGCCAGTTTGATCTCATCCTTCCTATAGCATCAAACTGTTCCTTAAATGAGTCCAGTGTTCTGGCCTCAAACACCCTTTCTGGTTATTCAGTTCCAGTTGTTAACCACCCTCTGTGTAAGGAAATACTTCCTTGTGTTTATCCTAAAATTGCTCTTCACCATCCTGAACCTGTTAACTCTGCACCAGCTGCCTTGGTGTATCTGGGAATATTGTTCTAGTTTTATTTTTTCGGCTTTGGTGAACTGTGGCAGTTTCACAGGAGATTTATACAGCCAACAGACAAATCTATTCCTTCTCTGTGAGGTTAATTTTAGTCCACACCCCAGTGTTAACTCATGTCAAAGTTTACAGTATCACCTTTTTTATTTGTGTTACAAGCAAATATCTTGCAGTAAGATGTCTAATAACATAACCAACAAATGTGATTGACATTTACTATTAAAGTCATTTGACAATTAAAAAGTCCACGTCTCAGTTTAAAAAATGACAGTTTTTCAATGAACAATACACTACAGTGAATGGATTAAATTAGCCACATAATGAATGAGAATGTGTGTACATACTACAGGTTTTAACATGCCAGGGCTATTTTGATACAACACAAAGTAGAGTGCTAAAGTAAAACTATCATCTCCAAGAAACACAATAAACACACATCTTGCCCCCCCCATTAGTATGGAAATTTCAGCATTTCCATGTGTCTGCACCATGTTGGTTCCCCCAGTGGCCTTATCCATTCTAACTCCACTTCCCTGATCTTTCTTCATACCCCTTTATATCTTCACATCTTTGATTAATTCCGTTTAAACAGAATCAAGATTTTTGTTTTTGCCCAGAATAGAGCAGAGCCCCATTATAATACATTGGTTAACATACTTCATGAAATCCCTGCCAGCATTATTACAGTCAGCACTTCCGGGTTATTAAAAAGCATGTTATAATGAATTCTGCTGCATCATGATTTCCCCCTTCCTATGTTATGACCTTCCCTATTCAAATCTGTCTTATTTTTATCCAATACACTGAATCATAGATACTACAGCAAAGGAAAAGACCACTTGGCCCATCGAGCCTATGCTGATGCTAGCTCCTCCCCTGGAGATAACTACACTAAATCTAATTGCCTGCTCTTTCCCTGCACATAATTTATTCTTGCTCTTCAAATGCTTATCATTTTCTCGTTCTTTCTTACTCTAGCACAACATAATGCTAAAACAGTATCTATAATAATATAGCAGATTGCAAATAAATCACAAAAATTACAAACTTGATGTGTCTCACCAACCTGAGAGTACAGGATGATTGATGATCTCGATTTTAAGCCATTCTTGGTTTATCTCGCTTGTCCTTAAATTGTCACTTGGTGCATGTAGAAATGTTTATTATTCATAGGAATATGAGAATGTAGGGACAGGAATAGACACTTCACCCCATCGAGCCTGTTCTGCCACACTTCATGGCAGCTCTTTATCCTTTTAATCTCATTACCTCACCTTTCTCCATATCCCTTAATACCTTTGCTTCCTAAGTACCTATCCATCTCCCTTTTAAACACTTTGATTGATTTTGCACCTATGGCCTTTGGAGGCAGTGCATCTCACAGACCTTTTGTGTGAAGAATTGTTTCCAAAATTTGCATTAAACTTACTAAGCTTTTGCTGTTCAGTTTATCATTTCAACTATTGATTATTAATACTAAACTGTACACTGTTCAGAAATAAGTAAAGAGAAATATACATACCTATTGTAGAAATCATCTCGGTAATAATCGTAGTCAAAGTCGTAACCGCTGCTGAGAAAAGAAAACAAATCAATGAAAGGATCAAAATAAAAGCTCTCAGTTTTTCTCAAACTTCAATGAAATTAATGTTGTTGAGCAAAACAGAACAGGTTTAATAGATAGAAAATGAAAGAGTATCGGGTTATACATGAGGAATATGTGTGCCAGAATCAATGGACAAAGTAAGTGCATTTTGTTTGGTACGTAATTGAAAGTGAAACACTTGCTAATGCAATGGATTGCTCGGACTGGAGAGTGCTCAAACAGTCAATATCTATCTATACAAATAGATGTCTTTCCTTTCAGTGAAAGAACCACTTACAATCACAACCACAACAACTTGCATTTATCTAATATCCTTCATGAAAAGTAATGTCTCGAAACGCTTCACAGCAGCTGCTCATCGAGTGGGGGAGGATGATCACAGGCACCGACAAAGATGTAGGTTTTTAGGTGCTTTTTTAAGATAGTTAGAGCGGGGAAAGATGGAGTGAGTTCCAGAAAATAGAGCTGCCTATGTTGGGGCTGAGGGGGCAAGGGACGTGCTACAGGCCAGAGTTTGTGGAGCAGAGGATGAGATCAGATGAACGAAGTTAGAAATGATCAAAGAGTTAGGAAGGTGCAAGGAGGTGAAGGTGAGGACTTTGAAGTTGATCTGCTGGGAGTCAGGCAGTCAGTGGAGTCTGGATAATGAGGTATATCTGACTGGAGTGACTAAGTATTACTCCCTAAACCTTAAACACTGCTCGAGAACTAGATTAGAGTCAAACCTCATCTTCCACATGTTCCCCTCAAACTCTCTTAGCAGCATCTTTCTGTCACACACATATTCTCCCACAAAGTCCAGACATAGAGTGGAGAATGCGAACATTAAGATAGCATGTGGTTCACATCTCCAAGATGCTTAACCTGCTTCACAGCCCCAAGCTTCCACCACTCTGTGTCTCTGAGGTTCATTATTCTCTCACTATCTCTAACATGTGCTCTCCAATGCCATCAAAGTCATCACTTTGTTTTGTGTCTCACCATTCCTTGCAGATTTGTACCTTAAATCACCCTTAGGATAACTTTACAGCTCAAACTACTCTCCTGATAGTTCGGGTTCCTTAACCATTTTGTAAAGTTGGGAATCACCATCCACCAGCAGGAGCAGCCTCTGATCTTAGGTTATTGGCTGATTATCTAGCTTTGTGCTGGTGCTGTCTTTCATTGCTAAAGTGGCATTTTCCAATCTCACAAGTCATACTTTAACATAACTCTCTTATTTTCTAAGTGATAGTCACTATAGAAAGAGGAGCTCACAGTCTAGGCTGACACACCTGTGTAGTTTTCGGGGAGTGCTGCATTGCCAGAGGTACCCTCCATCAGATGAGACATTAAATTAAGATCCTACTGTAAAGTGTTGCAACTGAGTATTTGTGGCCGAATATGACAGCCAATTTGCGCACAGCAATGTATCACAGACAGCCATGAAGTGGGTATGAAATAAATAAGCAATGTTTTAGTGATTTTAATAACTGCCCAGAGCATCTTAACTATCTAACCAAAATGCAACTAAATAAATCATTTTTTAAAAATCCCAGACACTTCTTGTTTTCATCACAAGCTTGAATGTAGAACATAAATGGAAAGTCATCTGATTTCCTTCCTGTAGTTGCAAATCAATTTCCAAAGTTAAATCACTGTGCTAAACAAATGAGGGCTGAATAAAGCTCTGGAACCCTTATGATTTCAGGAAATAAAACATCATCAACAAGATATATTCACTGAAAAGCGACTTTATGTGACCTGAAACAAAAGCAAAAGTCCCTGAGAACACTCAGCAGGTCAGGCAGCATCTATGGAGAATGGAAAGTGAGTCAATGTTTCGGGTTCACGACTCATCGTCAGAACCCGCTGAGCGTTCCCAACGACTTCAATTTTTGTTACAGATTTCCAGCAGCTGCAGGATTTTGTATTTTGTTTACGTGACTTGTGTGCAGGACACAAGTATTTAAATTAGTACTAATAAATTCTTAATGAAAAGGCAAATACTCTTCCTGGAGTAACATTTACCAGAAGTCTACAGTCTTCTTTCAAATTGAGCAACTCTATCAGAATGCAAAGTGAATCAATGATTTGGGACTGTGTATATAATATTAGCAAACCATCTAACACATCTACAGAGCATGGTGTAGATGAAATTAATATAGAAAACAATAGCAAAATATTGCTTCCCCCAACAAACACATATTAATGAATATTACAAACTATAGCCTAAGGAGGAAGTACATTTTTACTCTAACTCAATTGATCTCGGTGTACAAGTGACTTAACCTATTAGACATTCTGCTCAAGACTGTGTTGAGCTTGACTAAGGGTACATAACATTGTGTCTCACCTTTGCATCAAACATCTTTGGCTGTGTGACCCACAGTCCCTTTGGAGTTTACCACAGCTCTCCATCACTGCAGCATTTTCAGGCCAATGCAGACGATCTGTCCATCTAACATACCCATTCATCAATTTTCCACACGATTCCCTCAATATATTTACCTCAAATCAAATAACCCTGAGTCCTTTTGGCTGACAGGAGCTCGTCTAATTTCATTCTGAAACCCTTTGTGGTTTCCTGATCCAGCGCCTGCGCTAGTAGGCATTTCTAAACGCCAATCACACTTTTTCTGAAATATAAGGGTCTTCTCATTTCTGACCTATGTTTGCCCTTATTCTGAACACATGACACTTTGAGGAAAGTGAAGGGTGATTTGATCGAAGTATTATAAAAGGGCTAGACAAGCTAAGCAGTTAATGACTTTATCCTTTGATGGGTCCATCAGGTATGAGGTTAAAAATTAGGACAAAACAGGTTAGAAGCAAGGCGAGGAAACATTTCTTATTGCAGAGCAAATGAGAAATTGAAATCCACAGCCCCCAGAAAACAATTAAAGAGAAATCTGTTGAGGGATTTAAGAGAGAGATGGAAAGATATTTGGGAGCAAAGATCTTAAGGGATCTGGCAAAAATGTGGGGAGGTAAGATTAGGGGATGTTACGTGGACCTTGGAATGGTCTGTGGTCGAGCAGGTTTGATGGGCCAAATTGTGTTCTCCTCTTCCTCGTTTCCCCTTTCCGGATACGCTACTTTTAGTGATTGTTCCCGAGCAGTGTATTGCCTCAATTGCAGAACAGATCATATTGAATTTGTTTTCATCCCGCTCCTACTAAATAGAAGTTGTTCAATGTTTTGCCCACAAAATATACAGTCAATTCGACATCTCAAAGACGTGATAAGGCGCTATATTAAATTCAAGGAGTATTATATAGTATTTATTATAATGTGAAATTATCTGACTGCAAAGGAAAGGTGCTCCTTTATGTCAAGCAACTTGTCAGGGTTACTTTTACCGTATTAAATTGCATTCATTTGAACACCTGAACAAAAGGCTCTGCTACTTTCAAATGGATTCAAATTACACAGATGACTTGTCAAACTATCGCAAGGGCAATCAGAAATATCAATTTCTTGTGGTTAAACAGCAGTCATAGCTTTACCCAGAAGCTTATTTTAATTTTACCCCATTTCACAAATAGCGCCTTAAGTGTTGTAAACCTCAGTTACTTCTGTAGCTATTGCAAAGTGTTCAAAGACTATACAAATCAAGGCTCTTTCAATGCGGGTACAAGGCTGACTGGGCTAAAATCTAGAAGCATATTGAACAGTTTCAGCATCGTTTCTTTCTTTGACAGATGTAATTTTATGTCCAGCTGGCTTCTGTTCCCTCAACTCCAATGTGATAAAAGCAGGCTTAATCGACAAGAAAATCCCCACATTTCACAAAGCATTGAAAAAAAATGACTGCTCTGCTTTTTTCAAAATATATTTCATATATTTTGCACCTGGTAATTTTACCGCCCACTGACTGCCAAGCAGAATATTCCATTCTAAACGTTGGGTAATATCTTTGCATTGCTGCCACCTCTCTGTATACAGTATTCCAATACATATGTTTCACTCAGAGTAAATGATTAGCATCAATTTGCTAAAAGCACGAAATGTAACCAGTTATTTTGAGGTGGATTCAATCAAATTAAGTAGCTCAGCATATCACAATGTTTTAAAAGGTGCACAGGACCATCACTATAAATCACATTTCTACTAGGGTTTTATTGTTCCTTAGAGACCTAGCCCAATACCGTTCCATACACTGCAGCTTTTAAAAACAGAATTTTTAATGTTTGTAATTGCACTGATGTGTTATGAGGCACAAAGCAATAGTGATGCTTTTCTCCAGCACTGCTGCCTGTTTTAATATGTGCAACAGCCCATGTTTCATTGCAATATCCAAGGGTACTGTTCTGAATAGGCACTGAGGAAGGATTAACAATTGTAACAATAATAATCCTTGCATTTGATGTAGCGCCTAATCACATCATCCAAATGACTCAAAGCGCTTCACAGGATGTTACTGTAAAGTGTAAGCGTTGCTGGTATTTGATGAGCTTCATTACTATAATATTAGATTCTTTCAGCATCATAGCACATGAGCTAAAAATGTACACAATTGGTGAGCCAGAGAGGCTATGTTCTCCATAGTCCAGCAGGTAGTCTAATGATTAATATTACATTTTTTCCACTTTCTTATGTGCAATTCCTCCATTTACAGACTCTACAAAGCATTGGCTGCTGTCCTTTAGGATGACTCATCACTCCCAGGATTAAAGAACCACAAGCTGACACCAAGAAGTATGTTCAAAGCTCAATAATGTTGACCGACAAATGTATAATTCAATTAATGAGTGATTCACTTGAAAGTGGTTCAACTATATTTCTTAAAGCACAACGTCAATTGAGACGAGATCATACAATTCAGTTAGCACACTGAGCAGCTCAGCGACTTTGGAATGGCTCTGGAACTGAATCCCTACAAGTTCCTTTACCTTTTTGAGGTTGATTAAAATTAATGCACGTCTAAAATAATAATTCCACCTTGGGGAATAGTGTGGGTAAGCAAGGTCTCTCTGGAGTGAAAG